AGAGCAGTGGTCTCCAAACTGTGGCAGTTTGCTTGCTTTTATCCAGCCCTTGGGGCACTATTTCATCCACTGATACAAACAATGAGGCATAATTCACCCCAACTGAGGGGCACAATTCCTTCCAATGGCACCAATGATGGGGAGCAATTTCTTCCAATGACACTGATGGGGCACATTTCCTCCCAATGACACCAACTATGGGGCACAATTCCTCTCAATAACACCAACGACGGGGCACAGTTCCTCCCACTGGTGCAAAAAATGGGTTGCAATTCTTCCCAAAGACACCAAAAAAAATGGGGCACTATCCCTCCCACTGACACCAAAGATGGGGCATTGTCACTGGCCACAGTTCAGTCCCCCCTAAAGTCTGAAGGACAGTAAACTGGCCCTTTGTTTAGAAAGTTTGGAGACCCCTGGTTTAGAGATTGAAAGTTCCAGTAAGGACTTCTACAATAAAAACAAAATTATTATTAGCGCCCCCAAGCTAAATCTTTGAGAAAAACAGCTAACGTAGCATTTTATTATAGCAGATAATATTCTATGTACTGTCTGCTGAGAAAGGTATGCCACCACATAAATGTACATAAATTGTAAAATATACAATGAAAATATACAATGAAAATATTTAGAAAGATAACATAATTAGTGTAAATTTATGATAATATAATTAGTAGTAATAGGAAAGTAATAGCTTTGATTGGTTAATTAAAACACTGTCTGAGGCTACGTTCACATCTATGCAGGTATGGGAGTATGTGTATATTGCGCATGTTCCTGCACTCGCATGCAACCACACAGAAAAGGCCCAGGGGGAGGGGGTTGGTTGTGGCACCAATAAATTATTATTTCATATTATACAGTATTTATATAGCACCAACAGTCTACACAGTGCTTTACAACATAAGGGCAGACAGTACCATTAAAATACAAATTCATACAGGAGGATTCAGAGGGCCCTGCTCATTAGAACTTACAATCTATATCATCCATTGTTAAGGTTGCGGTGGCCAACTTGCCGAGCCACTCCTTGACAACTGGCTATTCACTGGTTGCTAAGGACACCAAGGCCGCTGGCTCCTTTATAAAATGTTAGGGCTCCTAAACACTTTTGCAAATGCTCCTAAACACTTCAAAAATTGCTATATATTAGTGTTTTTATCCAGTATTTCTTTTTAGCGTTTTTTGAGTATCTAGCGTGCATGGGGCCTTATTGTATCATCTTAATCAATCAAGCAATACAGATGAATATGAGTAAAGGCAAATTCCAATGTACAGCCTTAATTACATATAGGTTTATGTGAGTTAAGATGTGATAGAAACAAATCTAAACTTATGTATGTAAACACAGATGAAACTATGACAACTGCATGTGATCATTTATGGATGGAAAGATTATGTGACACACTGGGATATTCACAGTAATCTCCATCAAGGGTTTAAAGTGGACGTATCAATAATTTTATAAGGCTTTGCCATGTCATAATACACCACAAAAGTTGTATCTTTCATCATTTCAAAACATTCCTTGAATTCCAGTCAAATGAGAGAAACATGTTGGCAGAATGAGGTCTCCTGGAGGCACAAGGAAGCATTTTCTAAGTCTTTGTCCATTACTTGGGACTGATTTAATTCAGTAACGTTTTGGTAAGTAACAAGTAGGGATAAGCCAAATGTACCTTTGAGATGGATTCACAGAAAATGAATGAAAGTTCAGGTGCTGAATCAAACCCCAATGAAGTCAATAGGGGTTGAATTTTAAAAAACAGTAACAGCCATTTTCTTGGCTAATAGGCAATGGCTTGTCAAGCAAATGGCATGGGGACTGGGCACTACACTGGGGAACATTTACTAAAGAAAAAAAAAAATTAACAATTTCTTTTTGGCGGGGAGCAGCAATTTTATTAATGTTGTCAGGTCAATATAAAAAATGCAAAATTCCTTTACATTACATGACTGAGGTTCCGTTATACTGGATGTGGGCCTCATATAGATTGGTAATGGGGAACCCTCCCACATGTGGTTCTCCCTAAAAATACATACCAGATCCCTATCCAGGATGAAGGTCTGGCATGGACGTCAGGGGAGACCCCACACAAAAAAAAGTAAACAAAAAACAGCATAGGGTCCCCCCAAAAAAATCAATAACAGATTCTTATCTGAGCATGCAGAGGACAAGCATATGCCCCATCTCCTCCATCATACCAGGCCACATGCCCTCAACAGGGAGGAACCCACCTGCCAAAGCACCTTGTCTTTATGTGGATGAGAACAACGGTCCCTTTACTAAAACCCTAGTCCAGAGGTTACAGGGGCTATAACAATAAGGGGCACAAATATATTGATATCCCCCCTTCCATGTGAATGGGTAAGGGCTACAAAGTACCCCTGAATGGGCTAAAACGTGTCTGAACTGAACCTTACTTTAATCCCTAGTAACAAGGTAACAGGAGGCAGCAGGATTGATTTTCCTAAGGCAAGTAGGCTGCTTACTTTGCAAAAGAAATTGCACCTGCAAGGGAATTTTCCTCAGAGCTTAGTGAATGAGGTGAAACTCTGCTGACTTCCATCAGCCAAATAAGTACTTTTTGCAAAGTGACATTTCACCACATTCACTAAGCTTTCACTTGAAACGTGCAACCTCCTTTTGCAAAGTGAACAGTCAATTTGCCTTTAGTAAATCAACACAATAATCTCAAAAGGTAAGAGTAGAAGAATTTTGTACTCTGCAAAATCTTTAGGGAAGGAAAGTAGCTACATTCTAAAACTGTATCCTAAAACTTTTTCAGAAAACCTACAAAACGAAATTCTCTCCTTCAAGTGGAAGTAAACTCCCTTTTTTGCTTTGTACCTATAGGTAAGCCAGGGAGCCAGTGTCAGGAGAGGAGCCCTTTTTTTTAATGTGGGTTGGCGGATCGGTGAGATCTACACCGGGAGACAGTATTTTAATTTTAATTTTTTAAAATAAAGGACTTGTCCAAAAACGGCTCCTGTCTTTATTTACATGTACCTCATGCTCATTTACATAGGGGGGACCAAGCTCTGGGAGCCCCCTTGTTAAAGAGGACTTCCAGATTCTGATAAGTCGCCCGCCCGCAGACCCCAAAAACCAACGCTTAGGGATGTGGGGAACAGTACCTTGTCCCCATCAACATGGCGACAAGGTGCTTTGGGGAGGACCCCCCTGCCTCAAAGTACCCCTCCATGTTGAGGGCATGTGGCTTGGTGTGGTTCGGGGGAGCACTCTCTCATCCACCCCCTCTGTTCCTGGCCTGTCGAACTACATGGTCAGGTAAGGATCTGGTATGGATTTTGGGGGCACTCCATGACAGTTTTTTTTTACATTTTTGGTGTGGGATTACCCTCAAAATCTGCACCAGACCCAAAGGGCCTGGTAAGGATTGGGGGGGGCACAGTTTTATATAATGCAAGCATTGTTTACAATGAGTTATTGGATGTTAAGAATGCAGACGGTCATCTGCCCCTTAACAACCTACTGCTTAGCAGCTCTTAGCAGTGGTTAACAGCGGTTAGGAATGTTTAAGAGCGGTCAGTGTTTTTTTTCTGCCAGAAACTTGCTCTAAAAAATGCAAACTATAGAGTTTTTTTCTGCTCTTAAATGCTGAGCTTAAAAAATGCCTCTAGACAACAAAGTGTGCATGGACACATAGGATAACACTATTTGCTTCTAGAGGCAGAAAAAAACCTCTAAATGTTGTTGCTGGAAAGGGTTTTTTAAGCTAGTGTGCATGGAGCCAAAATGTTTGGCAGGAAAAAATATTCTGTTCTATTTTTTTACATTGGGTTATAAACAGAAATGCTTTAGATACAGCATATTTAGAGCCGACAGTTTCCAGCAAATCAAAAGAACAACTAGTGTTTTGTTTGTGTATAACAACCCAGAATCATTACAACAGCAGAAGTGAGGTTCTGCCTTTTAATGACTGCACATTATGGGACAGCAGGACCATCTGTCTGTGTCAACATTTTCATCTCTACACTAATTAAAAATGTGGTATGGGAGCAGCTTCCCAATTTCCCATTCATTGTCAAGCGTGTCTTTATTACTGGCGATGGCTGCAAGGACACACACATAATGATAGCAACAAGTTTGCACTGTAATTGGGACTGGCTGCCATGTATACAGCTAGAATACAAAGCATACATGTTAGGCCAAGAAGAGAAATTCTATCACAAAATCTCATGTCTAAAACGCAGGGAAAGAGAAGGTAAAGCTGTTCCTGTAAAGACCAGCAAGATTCCATTTTACTAGTTCAAGCCTGAAAGTTGAAGTATGTGGGGGTAAAGCTTGCTCTTCTCTCTGCAGGTATAGTAAGGTGCCAAGGGGAGGCCCATTCAAGTGTGGGAGCGATCCGGCAAGTGGGACATGACCTGGTGTTGCTTCTCTGGGTTCTGAACAACTGGGTTCTGAGAACTGAGGTTCTCCTGGAATGTTTCTATCAGTATATATCACTTTTTTTTCTTTAACAAAAAATTATATTCTTATGATCTTAATGTGTTCTGTTCCTCAAGAGCCAAAGTACATGTAGTACTTTGCCCCATCTTTCTATGTGCTGTCAAAGGTTAGCTGTGAGATCGGTCAGGGTACCCTTCCTCCCTCAAAATCTGTCTGACAATGCAGCTAGCAAAGAGCCAGCTGCTTAGACAAGCAGCATCTTTCTTCATCTCCAAGCATGTACCCGAGACAAACATCTCATGAGGAATGCAGGGTTCAAGTGGGCTTGTTGCCTAAACTCTTCTAAGCAAGCAGGCAAGTAAGTGCTTGGAGATGGATAAAAGTGCCATTTGTAAAAACAGTTGCCTCTTGCTGGCTGCATTGTTGGATGACTGTGGAGGGAGAAGGGGGCATTACCTGATCTCACAGCTACCCTAAGACATCACACAGGAAGATGAGACAAAGTACTATATGTACATTTTCCCCTGGGGAACAGAACACATTAATGAAAACAGGGAAAGTGAAACTTTTCCTTTAAAATTACCTGTCAAATGCTGGTTTCTCCCCACAGTCAAAGGCATCTTGGAGCTCTTTCACCAGGTTTGCTTGGCCAGGCAGTCTAAATAGTCCTTCCTCTGTCAACCCACGCTGCCGGATAAAGTCCACACACTGCTCCACCAACATAGGGGCCAGACGTGCACCATACCTCTTCTCATAACGTACCGTGTCTTCCAGTTTCTGCCCAAATATACCTTCAAGAATTAAACAGAAAATTTTTTTAAAAAATTATAAAATGGATGGAATAAAGTTACCTCTTACATCTTTGTGATTTTTTTTATATGTAGCAATAGGAAACCTTCAAGGTTTTCACTTAATATTTTTAATTACAAATAGTGATTAGCAAATATGGTAATTTTTCAAATCCAAACTCTGCTTTCAGGCTTGATTGTTCATCTCAGATAATTGGCAGAAGTTTGACCATTAAGGGAGGCTGTTTGGAACTTTTAACAGCCTGTTTTAATATCCCATGCACTGAAGAGGAGTCCGGATTACCATTCCACTTGTGTTCTGGACCCCCTTCCACTCCAAAGAGTCCTACATCATAGGGCTCCCATAAGCCTGTGTGCCACAACACCAATCACACTCCCCTATTGCTCTGTTAGATCTGTTACCTGCAAGCTCTGATAATAGGGGTTGACTGACAGTTGTGTGAGGAACTCTACATGCCCCGTATGCAGGAAGTGAACAAATATAGGCGCAAAGGACCCTTTACCCGTTCACAAGTCATTTATAGATAACATTCATTTACAGCATCCAAATTGTTGTCCAAATTACTATAGATTTGGATAAACCAGTTCACGCATTATTGATCACAAAATGTAACACTAGGTTCTGATTTGCCAATTCAAATATTACTGGAATACACAAAAAAAATTATTATTTCTATTTATTTTACTGCAAAATCTACATTAGACTGTATTCACTTATAAGTACACCTCTCATGGGAAACAATATGCAGCAAATGAAAGTTAAAGCCCAACACCAAGAATTAGACAAAATCTAGCCTTGCAGTAGGGCCCCGGCATTGCAAGGGTTGAGTACTCATTAGGTCTGGCGGAAGCTGAATAGGCTCCATTATTTACCTTACTCCTGCTTCAGCCAGCTCCAACACTCTCCTTTCTACCTCTGGTGCTCTGGTCTGTGGACGGTCTCTCGGCATCATCACTACTGACCTTGAGTGGAAGAGGCAAGAGTGCAACTCTGGCTGGTAATGCCTTAGAAAGGAGGCTTCATGGGACAAGCTATGAAGCTGTAGAGTCTCTGCTGGACCACAGAATATATTATTACGTTTTATTCTCATACCCCTAAACTGAATAAGCAATTAACCCCCTTTCAGTTTGGGGGTGGGGGGGGTTGCAAGAGGAGTAGATTTTGTTTAACTCTTGAAGCTGGGTTTAAATCGCAATTTATGTTGGTGCGTAATGTGATCAGGATGACAATCATGCAACCAGCATTTCCAGAAAAAGTCAATAATGGCAACCCACATATTTGTCTCATGACAGGTTACCTTTAAAAAACATGGCTAAAAGGTTAGGCAATACCTACTGATTTCAGTATACTGTTTGAGCATAAGGTATATACATATTTGTGATACACCCACGGATTCCTTTTTGTTCAATTAATATTCCTGTTTTGTAGCACTGTGGGGTGATTTTACTGACCTTCTTGATGTAAGGATTTCACCCTGCTCACACTGTTTCAAAATAGACTCTCTGTTGGACATATCATGTAATCTCTGCAGCTGTTCTGCAGGAATGCTGGATTACATTGGTTTGATATACAAACAACTGCTAAAATAAATTTGAATAGGGTATTAGAGCTAATTTACCTTCGATACTGATTGACCACTCCACCACTAACACTCATTAGTACTTAAGTGACCCACACAAGACACAAATTGGAGTTTCATGGCCATAGCAGACTTTTATTAACAAAATGTAAAGATAGCAAAATAACATTCAGTACAACAGGAATGGTGCCCCAAGGTCCTTGTAGGCATTTCTACTTAACTGAGTACCTGCATAAACCCATAAGGTAGGCCTCCAGTCGCACAACACCGACTTGGAGACAATTACACTAATAACTGCAGATATAACCATGAGCAACCCCCAGTTGACTATCACTAAACCATACAAAACAAGCGGAGCTGTACCTAAGATGGGTCCCTACCAATTTACATTTAACCATAATGACCAACTTCAAAGACTTCGTACCCCACCAGCTGCTATGACATATCTGGACCTAACCAGTAACTAACCATGAGAGAATGTAACACACATTCACATCAACACAAAAAAGGGAGGGGCATTTTCCCGTGGCCCCCTCTCTTTTACCGGAAGACTTCCTAGAACCTTCCTCCTAACCATCCCCTGAAGCCCCTCCTGTTCCTGCCTGACCCACCAATCCAATAAATACCCTTTGATTTCTTATCTACTTTTAACTTCTAAAAACCCTTCCTATGCCAAAACCCCTTTCAAACTAGTCATGCAGGCCTGCATATATGTTTCTCCTTCTTATTCTGGAAAAAACTAAATTAAACATGGAACAGCAAATACATAAAAAGTAGAAGTCATATGAACATATCCCGAAATGCTTACTGAAAATACACTATAGTTTTATTTTAACAAACAGAGGAATCTGCAATTATTTCTAGAAATACAGCTCATACCTGCCATGAAGTGACAAATGACTGTCAAGACAATCTTCAGTATATAAGACAGGAGATCTAGTGCATCTAGTGCACTGGTTTCTATAGACTGTCAAAGTCAACAACTGATGTTCACACATGAGAGCTCCTTCTTGTACCTTTCATCCGGGTGCTAAAGGTTATTTCATGAACTCACTTTCTTTAAATAACATCACATCTCCTTGACAGTCACTGTAAAGTGTCTTGAACATGGGAACAGGTTCAGAAGGTCTTAAAATAACAGCACATGGGATACCTGCAATCTGAGTTTTCATTTCCTGCTTTATTTATTCTTTTTTCTCTCACTGTGCCTTATTTATCAGTTTTGCTTGCACCACAGCACTTAATCTGACTTTCTTTTTCATTCTAGAGCTGTCGTTCAAGCGCTAAATTTGGTTGGCTGCTAAAAAGCAACACAGACAGTTTAGAGATGTCAAATTGGTCCATTTAAAAAGTGTGCTTGTGCCCAGGCTATGGATAGTAGAGAGGAACTTTACCCTTGTTCTACAAAATTAAAAGTCAGCAGTTACAAGTACTGGTAGTGTGGTTGATTAGCTCAGGTATATCTTAAAAACTTGAAATAAACAACAATTCTGGAGCTTTTGAGTGGTATTTTAGATAATACTTTTACAGAGCATAATTATATGTTCACAACTCCATTCCTCTACACCTTTTTTTACTGATAGTCAAGAATGATAACTTTGGAAAGGTTTAGGATTGGTGTGTGGGGAGGTGCAGAATGGTGTTAGGCAGTAAATACACAGGGTCCAGTTGCAGGATTAGAATTTGTATTAAAGTCAAAGTTCAAAATTACAAACAGCCTGGTGGGAAGGCACCGATCTGGAACACTCACAGGTTGTAACAGCAAAGTGGAACACAGCAGGTCGTGGATGTGATGACAGCATTTGTCTCAGAGGGCAGACTGTGGCCTGGCCAGACTGCACCCAAGAGGGAGGATTACAGGTAGCATGGCATGTGCCTATCCTGTCTCTACTCTTCTGGAACCTTTCTGTACCACTATTCATTTTCCCTGACAGACTACTGGCCTGTCCCTACACTACTCACTTGCAAAATGTGCACCAAACCCTGGAGCCAGGGTCTTAAATAGACTCTTTCTGACCCAAGATGGCCATCTGGATAACTTCTGCAGTGACACAGTAACCATACAGAAGCATTGTTTCTCCTAACTTCCTTTCCCTCTGTTATGTCACTGCGGATGGGCACCACCTGCAGTGGAGAAATTAGACTGCATCTGCCTACAAGTGAATAAAAATAAGTTTTATTCATTTCAATCATCCAACCACATATGAGCAAAAAATTTGAAGATTGCTTCACCCTATTCACTATGCCAAGTTTGTTCACTGAATAGTCTTTAGTGTTTTAGTAATCAACCTCATTGAGTTAAGAAATGTTTCAGCCTGCTGCTTGATAATGGTGGTAATGATAATATAGATTGTGGGAACGTAGGTGCATTTTCCAATAATCTGAATACACACAAATGGCAAGAGGAGGCGAGATGATAGATGAGCATTAATTGAGTGTTTTTGCTCACCATGGAAGCCTACCATCTGCTCCATGAACAAAGGAGCAGATGAGAGGCAGCATGGTGTGTCAATGCTTCGCCTCATATCAGGTGCATTACTCTGAACCCTGGCAACAACCAAGACAGGATGGCTGATATGCAGTGGATGTTGAACATCAGTGCCAAGTTGCAGAACGACAACTATGTCTATCAGCATAATATGCAAATATGGCAGATAGTTAGAGTGTCCAAATTCTCCAGATGTTGGATGGTAGGGACCACACAGATGAAGTTTAGCTGAATAAAGTAACCAGCGGCACTCCTATTGAATTAAAATACATTGCTGTGCTGTACATTGCACTGTAATGCCATAAATTAAGACTACACAGAAGTCTCAGAGCATTGTCAGAATGGTTTGGGATTTGTCCCTAAAATATATATTTTTGGGGGCTACTGCAGACAGGGCCTGGATCATCCACAAGTCAACCTAGGCAGCTGGGCCCAATGGGTGTCCAGGAGACCCAGTTTAAGCCTTTCTGTTCCTACAGTAAACCAGAGGCATAGCACAACTGGGTACAGCGTGAACCTACCTATCACTTAACAACAGAGGATGCACTTAAAGGCAGTTGGTGTCTGATGGGCCCATGCAAATGGGGTGGCTTCTCTGTGCCTACTGCAATCAACTACATATGAATGTCAATGGAAGGGACCTTGCCTTGGGCTCCATTCTACCTTAATTCATCCCTGTCTGCCAACATAACACTCAGCAAAGAAATTCCCTAATAAAATACAGAAGCAGGTTTTGGTGACTCTTATACTAAATCTCTGTGGCAGCTTTTCAGGACCAGTTCACACATGCATGTTTTTGTACTGCACAATGAAATGTGCATGCTACCACAATGCACAGTAATGCACTGCGTGTCCATTGATGTGTTGTAGTTGAATTCATTTTGAATTAAAGTACCTGTACTTCAATACATCGCTATGCATTACA